TTTACACAAAGTAGAACCACTTTCAACTTCTCACAACAAGTACTGTAGCGCACGATCTGCAACATCAATTTTTGCTGCGCACGAGGCGGTAATACGGGCAACATCGCTCTACAACCAGCAACGAAAATGTTGCGTGCCAAGTTGGATCAAATTTTTGCCATATTGCTGCACCTTAAAACGAACCTCCAGTATCACGACTAGATTTCAATGAAATTGCATTGGAAATCTAGCATTCCAATCGCGAATCGGGATCCCTGCCTTATTATTATCGCTCTAATCATCGTTCCAGTTTCAAAATTGCATAACTGGAATTGGCTCACCAGTGAAATTTATTACTTGGAATTTACTTTTAATTACTTTGCATTAGCATTTTCATTGTTAAATTAACAATCAATACTAGAGGCACCTGACCCCAGGAAAGATCCAACTTCAGGATGTCAACCTCTGGTTGATGGGAAAGGTGTGATCCCATACTGTGCATGGTTTGAGTTTTGACTTAAAACATGCATGTGACTGATCCGACTTGATAACTGACATGTTCATGTTTATAAATATATCTGTGTCACTAAATTTATTTGTTTCTTTAAGTTTACTTATCGACATTTATGATTAAGAACACTCACTTGTGAAAAGACTTTTGTTTTTCAGTACTGATTGTGCATAAATCATTATGGGAAAAAAGTGCAAAATATTCAAATGCTAATAAAACTTTTTCCCCATGACGGATTTTAGGGGATTTTGGATATGTTTTTCTCCTAGACATTCTGCGTTTTTTGATACCAAACTTGCTTCTATACGATTTTTTTCCAGGTCAAAATGTCTGACGACCAGACTACTAGTGAAAAACCACGCTTTACGTTGCGAATAAACGTTTTTCAACCATGACCAGCGCCAACAAAATTTAAACGAACGAAGTAACTCAAACTAAGTAAGAATATTTCTATTTCATCCATTTGCAACCGACCTGAAAAACTCCATTCATGTGTTATTCAGTTGAAGCTCCTAGAATTTATAGTTTCACAACAAATTACTACACAATACAACAACATATCTTACATATTTTCCTTGATGTGTTTCCTCCAAGAACCTGTTTGCGAGTGTTTTTTAGGATGGAATCCTCCTTTCCATTTGCCCGACAGCACTATTAATAAACGTAACTTGGCAATCCAGCAATCTTGAGTATGAAAGAACAGCAAGAACCAAGATATAACTCATTATACAGCTATGTAACAATCACCGATAATCACTTTGCCTTC